CCAGATTACTTGGCAAGTTAAATACTTCCCCATAATGGGCCAAACAATCTTTGTAGATATTTAGAACATAACTGCTTTCAAATTTTAAACTGTTGTTTACTTTGGGTATACATGTGTGTTTTTGTTTTCTTTTTTTGTACTTCTCTTTGGATCTTTGTTGTGATGTCTTATTTCAGCTCTCAAGATAATAATTTATTCTGTTGTTACATGTTTGGTGTAAGTGTTGGTGTGTAACTTCGAGATAGGAAATTAGTCTAATTGGCTGCCTGAGATAATTTGCTTAATTAGATTACCTGCAAATCTGGTCAGAAAACAGGCTAGAGGAGCTTACAACCTTTTCAAATATCAGCAAATGTAGTTTTTATAAAAAATGAAAAGCCATCCTGGATCTAAAGCTCTTAGGATGAGAAACCCTTCCTTTGGATCCCCAATTTCTTGAAGGAGCGTAAACTCTGAAATTCAGGCACAACCCATGAATCGATGAGTGACAGAGAACCTTAATTTTAGTCTGATAAAATTTAACATTTAAAAAATTTTTGCAGTCAGCTTAATAGGATGTGAGGGGAGTATCAAGATAAAAACAAAAAGTTATGAAAAAACATTGACATTTTCTACATCTGAATTTGTGATCGTGGATGTTATTTGTGTCCTTGGCTGACACATTTATAAGACAGAATTCCTTCTTTTTTTTAATTTATTTATTCATTATTTTTAATGGAGGTACTGGGGATTGAACCCAGGACCTCCTGCATGCTAAGCACACACTGTGCCACTGAGCTCTACCCTCCCCCGCATAATTCCTTCTAAATGATATATGATCTTTCTGAATCGAGAGGGTGAGGTGAATAAGGCTTCCTATTGAAGAAAACAGTATTTTGAGAGTTGGACTGAAGGAAGTAGTCATATTTAACTCTGAGGACCATTCCCAGAGTGGATCAGATACATTCAGTATAACCAAGTTAGAATCACAGAGCAAAAGTGGGACTAAACCAGCGTGATCCTAATAAAATTCACACCACTTTTTTTCCTCTCTACTTTGGTTATTGTCTCCTTCCATGCTTAATATATTTAAGCCATTTTCTTGCATTGCCCCACATAAACTTCTATTATATATCTGCTTTAACTTGTCTATGATGATTTCATATTGAGAAAAAAATACAGAAGTTTCAGTGTATCAAGAATCTCTGTGAAATTTCACTTCAGCTTGAAACCCGTCACATCATGTCAGAGAAATCTGCAGTGTCTGAGCCAGAACGCCGACGACTCAGCACGATGCTGTGATGGAACCAGCGACGCGGTGCAGCTCCACAGACAGACTTGCCTCTATGCAAGAAGTCAGTCTACTAGGGGTAACATGGAAACCCGCCCTTTAGTTTAAAAATATATGAACACATATCACACAGCATGTATTTACCTTACGTATTTGAAAAGAAAACAATAAAATCAATTTTGAAAATATGTGGGAACTTAGGAATATCCAGGTTTCTTCTAGAATAGGATTACATCTATTTGCTTGCCCCTAAGTGAAAGACTAGCTTATAATAGCCCAAGGGCATGTTTCCCCCCGTGGCTGAACTGTGCACAGGACACAGAAGACGTAGGTTGCAGGTGCTTCTGCCAGTGCTTAGCTTCTTTGAAACTGTCTTCTGAAGATCATCATACGTGATAGCAGTTTGACATCATACGTGATAGCAGTGCTTCTCTGGCGCTGCCCATGTGTTTGTGCGGCCCCAGCTGCCTTCCGGCTGGGCTCAAACCCAGGAGAGGTCTGGGGACTGAAGGGTGTGTCCCCCACTCTCAAGCAGATACTTGAAAATAAGCCGTGGCCACTGGGAGCCAGAGGCAAAGGCAGAATACCAAGCCTCTCCTACCTTGAGGCCTCGTGGAATTACCTCGCCCCCAAGAAAGGCTGAAACCAGTCTTTCTTGAAGGGACGTATATTGGTTTGTTTTTTTTTAACGTGATGAAAAGCACATGGCATGAGATGTACCCTCAACAAAATGTTTACGTGTATAATATTGTTAACTGTAAGCCCAATGTTGAGCACAGATCTCTAGAACTTTCATCTTGCCTAACTGAAACTCTATGCCCATTTCCCCCTTTCCCCCCAGCTTCTGGTAACCGCCATTCTACTTTCTGTTTCTGCAATTTTGGCTACTTTTCATACTTTATGTAAGTACAGTTGTGCAGTATTTGTCCTTCTGTGCCTGGCTTATTTCATTTAGCACAATGTTCTCCAGATTCATCCATATTGTAGCGTATGGTGTGGTTTCTTCTTTTTTGTGACTGAATGGTGTAGCTGCTGTGAAAAATGGTATGGACATTCCTCCCAAAAGTTTTAAAAACAGCTACTATATGAGCTAAAAGAATTGAAATCAGAATCTTGAAGAGGTATCTGCATTCTCGTGTTCATTGCATTATTCACAGCAGCCAAGAGGTGGAAACACCTAACTGCCCGTGATGGGTGGGTGGACAAAGAGAAGATGGTGCACACCCTCAAAGGAAGGGTGCTTCTTTCCTTTCGTTTCGTGATCTCCAGTTCCTTGTTCGTTTGAATAGCAGGTAAGAACCTGAGTTTACTTCTCCAGAAGTTCCAGAAATAGATCTCCTTTTATTTCTCCATTACTCAGTTTCTTTTTCAAGTCATTACTGAGTTAAGGAGGCAGAAAAATAAACCTCAGTCTTTTGGGGTTTTAGCTTCACTTCCCTTTTCCGGGGTTGAGTGTGTGTCTCAGTCACTCCGACAGAGACCCAGGGACACCAAGTGGGGACAGCGTCTGCCAGCTGGTCGTCATGCCACACAGGTGGTCACCAAGGCAGGTTCTACGCTTACTTCACAGTCACCTGAGTGCTTGAGACCTGAAATCTCTAGGTGTTAATTCTATGGCACATTGACAGAGCATCTAAGAAACACAAAAGGACTTAGTTGCGTAAATGGGATGATGGTTGGAGAATTTTAAAAACTATCAGAAAGAAAAACATGTTATAGAATTTTTGTATTATGAGCACAGATTTGGGGGGGGGGAATAAGTGTTTTTTTCTCCCTTCCTCTTTTTTTTCCCTAGATAAGCATAAACTTTTCCCTAAACAGAAATTAGATACTGTTTTGTATTATATTCAA